GGTAAGATCTTTAACCTCACAGAGCCTAGTTTTCTCATTTATAAAATGAGTATTACAATAATTGCAATGACCACCTTAAAGTATTGTGAGAAAAGTGCTTTGCAAAGTTATATGTAAATATTAGCTGTTATTATTAGTAGAGCATAAATTGAAAGGAATAATAACCAGAAAAACAATTTTAAGATAATTTCGAGGAAATACCAGTTTGCAGATCTCATCAGTGAGAGGCAAATAGGTGGCCCAGTGAATAGAGCACTGAATAGAGTCAGGAAGAAGTAAATTCAAATCCAGCCTCAGACACTTGCTAGTTGTGTGACCCCAGGCAAGTCACTTCACCTCTGTTTGTCTTAATCCACTGGGGAAGGAAATGGTGAATAATTCCAGTTTCTTTGCCAAGAAAACCCCACGGACAGTATGGTCCACAGGGTCACGAAGAGTCGTACATGACTAAACAATTGAAGAAGAACAACTAATTTGCTATACTATCTCCTACACTTGAATTGCTTATCCCTTTGTCCTGATCATGCCTTGTCAACCCCAGCTTCGGATCACCCACAATGTTCTCCTCCTGAAGTTCCTTGCCCAGGCTGCTGAATAGAACTGGAGAAAATAATTGGGTCCATTATAAACTTAGATTACATAATCTTAACTGGGCCCCACTGAAGCAAGGCAATCCTTTTTATATCCATAATAAATTCAATATTCTACTCACCACAACGTTTATTTCACACCTTTTCATCCATCTTCAAGCTTCTCAAGGCACCACTCCTCCTACCCTCTCAGCAGAGGGCCTTGCCTCATATTTCACTGAAAAAAAGAAGCTATTTGCCAAGAGCTCCTTCTTTACCTTTCTTGATCTTCTCAGATCTCTCAGATGTCTTCCCCAGTACCTCCACTTTCAGTCTTGTCTCTCAAGGAAAACACGGCCCTTCTCCTTGACAAGACAGATCACTTTGTGTGTACCCTTGGCCCCATCCGCTCCTGTGTTCTCTAGTAGATGTTCCTCCTATCATCACTACTCTTTCTCTAACCATCAGTCCCTCCCTAGTGACTCTTTTGCTGCTGTCCACAAACTAGCCTGAGTCTCCTCTCTCCTAAAAAATCTTTACTTGACCTAACTGTCCCTTCTAACTGTTGCCATAGCTTTCCTCCTGTTCATGGCTACACTCCTTGAGAAAGCCACATACTTGAGGTGCCTCCACCATTTTACAGATGAGGAAGCTGATGCTCAGAGTAGTTAAGTCCATATTCACATTGCCAGTAAGTGCCAGAGGCAGGATCTGAACCCAAATTTTCCCAACTCCAAGTCCAGCACTAAAGTGGTAGCTAAAAGAAAGGATAGCTCATGGCTACTTATTTGGAAAGTCTGATGAAGGATTTGGCAGAATTCAGACATCATCTATCCAAAGGAAAGAAGAAAAAGCATTTTTATAGGAATTTGGTCATTTTGCATTATGTTTCTTATGATAAGCATAAGCAAAAGGACTACTACAAATATAATTACAGCTTATGTACCAGCTCCTGTGGGGGAAGTGTATTCCAGACATTGAAGAGTGGCCAGAGCAAAGGTGAAGAGATAGGAGATGGGCCGTTGTGTGTGGGGAACAGAGGATAGACCAACCAGTTTGTCTGGATTGCCGAGTATGAAGAAAAGAGTAATATAAGATAACCATGGAAAGATTTAGCTGGGCAAGGCTGAAGAGAGTTTTAAATGCTAAAGAGAGGAGTTTATAGTTGATTTTAGAAGCAATCAGGGAACCACTGGAGTTGATTGCATAGGGGAGTGACATAATCAGATCTGTGCTCAAGGACAATCACTTTGGCAGCAATATTGAGGATGAACTTGGAATGTGGAGACACATGAGGTAATTAAAAGGCCATTGTGGTAACTAGGCTAGAGGTTAGGAAGGGATTTGTAAACTGAAGGCATTGGACTAGATGGTTTCTAAAGTCCTTCCAACTCTCGGTGTGTCTCAGGCTATTTGTACCCTCCTCCTTACCCCTACTGATTCCCTTCCTTTCCCCAATCCCCCAGATCCACAGGCATCCTGGGGCAGAAAGTGAAGGCTGCATTTCAGCCTCAGCCTCTGCCTCTGCTTCTGCAGAGCTGGGGTGATCCAAGGTTGTATCTTCAGGGTAGAAAAACAGATTGTCCCATTGACCGTCATACTGCTATGACAGGGGAGGACCCACCCTCTCCTCCTTATCATTACTGTCCTTCACAAATACCTCTCATTCTTCGTGGTGTGGGAGTTTAGGAGGTGGACTTTTTTCTGAGGATTCTTTGCAAACATTTTATAGAAGCCAGGAAATTTGTATCCTCACCAAAAGTTGGCAGCTAGGGATTTACAGTAAGAAGACAGCTACCATATTATTTGTTTAAGAACATGTGAATACTACAAAGTAAGAGCCAGGCAGGATCTGACATTGCTTGTAATTTAGGTAGCTTTCTTCTAATAAACACCCAGTGATTTACAAGTGTTCTCCTCTAGATCTGAGCATCCCAGGGAGTTAGTGACAAGGATTATTAACTCCCACTTTAGAGAACAGCTGAGAGGCATCATTCTTTGCTTATATGAGGAAAGTTGCTAACAAGCATTAAGGAATTCTCCTGACTATGAGATTGTTTTATGAGACAGAGACAGAGAGAGACAGAGATTACCATTTGGCCCTCAAAATGATCTATTTCATAAGTTACTACCCCTCACTCACTGCTCAATAAATTACTGCCCTATCCTGCATTATATGGTGTAGCTGATGAATGTTATTAGTAAAGAAGCCAAATGATGAAAATCCCATTCTTTCCAGTAAGTAAGGATATTGACTAAGTTGTTCCTTATAACTAGCAAGAGTCAACCCAGGAGAAATAGGATAAAACTATGGATAACCTATATTAGATATGGTCGAACTTTGAAATGTTGAAGCATGATCCCATTTCTACCATGAAATTTCCTCAATTTGAATGTAAGAGAGATAATGAATCCCATTTCATTCCAATGATAAACAATTAGTTACATAGCACAAATATTTATCATTCCTGAGTTTGACTATCACCATTGGCTATTTATCTATTCATTTATATAATCTCTGCATTTCTATGATTATTCTGTTTGTCTTTTACATCACTATTGTACGGCTTAGATGGTAAATTCCTCTAACATTCGCATTATATCTCTTTAACTTGATTTGGACAGCATTCAGCATCAGCCAGATCAATTTAGGTGCTTAGGAAAGACTTATTTGTAATAGTTGAGGAAATATTTTCCGGGACTGAGAGGCATGAAGTTGGTGAACAGGTTACCTAGAGGATCTCTTCCTGATGCCAATGAAAATAATACAATATGTATTCATACTAATGGCTTAGGTGCTGTCTCACTTAGAAATTATTTCTAATTTCCTTATGGTCCCATGATCTACCTGCAAAGAGAGCTTAGGACTACTTGATGTTGAAGTGTTTTTTATCTTTTTTCCCCATTTTTCTTTTTGTTCTTCCAATTACTTTTTTTCTTCTTTAAACTTCAAATTTCCAGTACCTATAATGTGTTTCTTCCATTAAAAAGCAAACGTAAGTGTGAGGATTTGCTACTTGTGAAAGAGTCTCAACACTAGGATTTTGCTTCTGGCTTGAGGCCTATGAGGTAGGTGTTATGATAGACTTCTGGTAGCAAGCAGTGCTGCTAATGGGGTCTCCACCCACAGCTGGCCTCACCTGTGCTAATTGTGTCCCTAGAGGGAAGGAGAAAACTAGATGTTTTGTAGAGAAAGTGTCAGATTTACTTGCAAATTAAGGTAGGATTTGAATATAGTACTAGAATTGAGAATCCATGTAGCCTGTTTTCCTTCAGCATTAAACCCTTCACCCTATTTATTTTCTATTCTTTGTATATTTTTATTAGAAGCATGCTGTTTTTCTCAATAGAATGCAAAAACCTTGAGCCCAGGTGGTATTTCACTTTTGTCTTTTTATCCCCACATGGTAGAGGGCCAGATACATAGGAGATGCTTGTTGATCAATTGATTAATTGATTAATCAGGAGAAACAAGACACAAGTATTTTCATGTACAGTAATTGTATATATATATGGCACAGGAAGTTCCAAAATTGTAGAGAGCAAGAATGGAGATACCACAAGAAGAGAGGAGCTTCCACCTAGGGGACTTTTAAAAAATTGGAATTGTTAGAGTGTATGAATCCTCTTCTCAGATGTTAACATGAAGACTCATGATGTAACTCAACTGCATTTGTTAAAATTTAACTGTAGTTATTAATCTTTTCATACAATCTGTAAGACTTATTGCTCCACCGGAAATTTCATGATTTCTTGGACAATCTGCACACTAAGTTCACAAAAGTTAATTTTACACCAGTCAGTGTTGCCCCTTTGCCCCTCTTTTTTTCCTTAGAGTGTAGTCTCAATGTGATTTGAGACAGTGACTTGAGCTTAACATCTTGTGTTGGAAACTTGGAGATTTACTCTCATCCCTCCCAGAGAGCCACTCAATAGCTGTCACAATGGTAGAATCCAAATATTTATTTGATGACTAAGCTTAGGCATCATAGTACTGTGCAGGAGGGGAAGAGTTCTCAGGAACTTTAAAGCAGGAATGATACACCTTAGGAGAAGCTAAGTGGTGCCGTGGATATAGAGTGCTGGGCCTGGAGTCAGGAAGACTCATCTTCCTGAGTTCAAATCCGGCCTCCGAAACTTACTAGTTGTGTGACCCTGGACAAGTCATTTAATCCTGTTTGCCTCAGTTTCATCATCTGTAAAATGAGCTGGAGAAGGAAATGGCAAACCACTCCAGTATCATTACCAAGAAAATCCCAAATGTCATGAAGAGTCAGACACAATTGAAAACGACTGAACAACAAAAATATATCATATACCTTAGTTTCTCTAGATCTAAAATGGGGGCAATGATCACGATCATTGTTAATATTCATAAAGAGAAATGATTTGGCACTAGGTCCCAGCTAACTGATATTATTACCCTTTCAGGTTAACATGTTTGTGGAAGGATTCCATGATGCCATTCTTCTTTATGGTCTGGCTTTACATGAAGTGCTGAGGGCTGGCTATAGCAAGAAGGATGGAGGAAAAATCATTCAGCAGACTAGGAACAGAACATTTGAAGGTATGAATTCATTGTAGCATTCAGAAAGGAGATGTAAAATTTGAGATCTAATCCCCGCTCTGTTATTAAATCTGTGACCTCTGGCAAGTCATCTGACCTCTTTTGTCCCATTTTTCTTATCTTAAAATGTGATTAATAATAGACTTATAGCCTACTTCATGTATAGCCTACTTCAGACCTATTGCAAAAACCAATTAAGTTATTCGAACAAGTGATACACAATTAAAGATGTCACGATTTTTAATATTATTTACTAGGCTGGAAGGCTATTCTTTTGTAAAAATGTTTGTAGCTCCAAGTTTCATTCATATTGAGACAGAATTATCAACTCACAGACTCTGACTTAAGTAAAGATCCCTCAAGGCTACTAGTCAAGAATCTCCTCTAATCTCCAATGTCACCATGAAGTAGTCTGCTTTTTATTTCTCTTGGTATTCCATTTTTGTGTCTGGAAAAAGGAGGCAAATATTACTTCCTGTCTGAAAGGTGATTATTTTAATGTAAATCAGTCCAGTGTATTCTACCAGTCTGCCTAGGGTTCCCAAGTGCTTTAGAAAGTCATGTTTGTTTTGTTTTGTTTTTTGTTTGTTTGTTTGTTTTTGGCTCTAACCAGAATGAGGAGAGTTGCCCTAGGGTACAGCACACAGTCTAGGGTTGCAATGGAGGGCATACAACAAGAGACATCAATTAATATTGCTTCTTACAAATACATGTAAGTTTTATACCAAAACTCCCACTTATCATGATGCAGAGCTATTCACTTTGTGGTGTTGACTCACATGTTGCAGTAAAAGTTCAAAACTTCCCCTGAATGGTTAAGTAACAAATAGTCCAGTGGAGAGAGCATAAGATCTGAGTTTAAATCCTGGCTTTACTATTTATTACCCACATGATCTTGGTCAAATTAGTTCATCTCTTTAGACCTAGTTTATTCATTTGAAAAATGAAAGAGTAGTACTAGATGATAGCTTGTTCTAAATCCTGGGATCCTATGTAACTTTCATTCTTTCCGAGACTGTAAAAATACCTTGCCTTAGTCTACTTCTCTATACTTAGTGCTTATATAAAATGTATAAAATAATCTAGATAGATTTTTAAAAATATATTCCTTAGGTAATACTCTCCTCCAAACTCATCGGAGTTGTTAGTCAACGTTAATGCATCTCAATTCTCTTCTTTGTCTTTGAAAATCTTGTACACAGTCCACCTTTTTGATGCACATGGTATTGAGTTTTGAGGATAACATAGAAATTGAGAGGCAGGGTAGTTTAGAGAACTTAGAATCAGGAAAATTCTAAGTTTGAATCTTAGCACTGACCCTTCCTAATTATTGGACCTTGGGCAAATCACCAATCTTCTGTGAGTCTCAGTTTTCTGATTCGTAAAATGAGGAGGACATAATACTTGTACTACCTACCTTATGTCAATTAGAAGGAAAGTGCTTTGTAAAACTTTTGCTATGGATGTGAGAGTTATTACTACCCATTGAGTAATTTCCATTTACTTTTTATGTTTAAAATTAGAGTTATTGAAAATAATCTCTAGATAATCTATATTGACTTCTGTGAGTTTTAAAAATTAATTGATTAGTTTGATACTCATTATTTTTATCTCAACATCTATGCTACATATACAATTGGGTTATAAAGTCTGATGCCTAATTTGTCAATGGTTTTTAAAGATGTCAAATTTAAGCTATGTTATTTCTTATTTTAATATATCTGTGTTTACCAAGAAATCCAATGAAATGCTTAAGAGAATGTAAATATTTCTCTTTGATAACAGAGAGGAATTAATTTAGAAATTTAGAAATTGAAACATAATATTTTCTTTTGCATTGATTTTACAATATGCCCCGAGTATAGTAAATCATGAAGCAGACATTTGCTTTTTCCATTCATATTCTCAGTTAGAAATATGTTTTTGGACAAGTAATTAAGATCAGATCTTAAAAAACAAGCTACAAATAAATCTGCATATAAAAATAGATTTTATTAATGTCTTTTGTTTATATACATTTCTCCATGTATCCTTCCCTTTTTTCCCAGAGAACCATCCTTATAAGAACAAGAAAAACAACAACAAAAATTAATGAAAAAAGAAGGGGAAAAAATCAGTAAAGCCAACCAACCCACTGAAAAAATCTGATGCTATATGCAATATTCCACACCTCTGGACCTCACCTCTGCAAAAGAGTTGAGGGAGGGTTTTTTCCTCATATCTCTTCTTTGGAGCCAAGCTTGGTCTTTACAATTTTGTGATTTCAGTTTCGATTCTTTTTTTGTCTGGTGGTTGTTTTTCCCATTTATATTTTTGTATATTTTTCCCATCTCTGCTTACTTCACTTTGTATCAGTTCATATGTCTGTCTGAGCTTTTCTGTATTTGTCATGTTTATCATTTCTTACAGCACAGTACTATTTAATTAATTCATGTACCAGATTTGTTAGCCATTCCCAAACTTATAAGTGTCTGCTTTGTTTTCTAGTTCTAAGCTAAAACAAAAAAAATGCTGTTATAAATATTTTAGTATAAATGGAATCTTTCTTTTGTCAATGACATTCCTTGGGGTTTATGCCTAGAAATGGAATCTCTAGGTCAATGAATATAGGCATTTTAGTCACTTTATTTGCATTATTCCAAATTGTTTTCCAATATAATAACAATCCACAGCTTCACTAACAATGAATTGGTAGGCCTGTCTTCCCACTGTCTTTCCAACATGGACTATTCCCATATTTTGTTATCAACTTGCTGGGTATAAGATGAAAACTAAATGTTGTTTTGAGTGAACATTATTTAAAACTGGCTGCAAAGTTTTTGCTTTACATAGTTTTTATGAGGAAAACATCTTGTCAGTAAAGTCAACTGGGCTAATTTTTGGACAACATATAGTTTGTCGCTGACCCATACTTGAAGCCTCTCTAGTTTTGTAGAAACTGCCTAGCCCTTGAGAGCCCAGAGTCAGCTGTCTACCATGATGAAGCATCCACATAGGGATTTAGTGAAGAGAATTGTTAGGGAGAAGTGGTGTGGCATAATAGCAAATATGCTAGACTTGGTGTAAAAAGTTGCAAGTTCAAATCCTGGCTTTGACACTTAATTAGCAGTGGGACTGTGAGCCTCAATTTTCTCATTTACAAATTTTCTCAATTTTACAAAATGAGGATAACAATTTTTGTATTAGAACTTATCTTGTAGAATTGTGGTAGGGTAAACACCTTTTAAGCTTTAAAACACTATATAAATCTAAGTTATTCTTATTTGCCCATTACTGCACTATACTTTTTTATTTCCTTTATGCAAGATATTGCATAAGATATTGTTTAAAACACATTATAGCTCATTGGGCCATTGTTTTTCTTTATCTAGGAGAAATAACTTGATTTTTTTATTTTAGGTTTGATGATTACCTGTAATTTTTCTTATTACCCTAATCTCCCCAACCAACACACAAAAATCCTAATCTTTGTTGATTGCCTTGTCTTTATTCTGAGTTGTACAATCAACTAGAGCAGTGGTTTGCAGACTAATTATAAGGAATTGATTGAATTGGAAATTGTCAACTAAGTCATTTAGTAGTTGTTGTTGTTCAGTCATCACGTCCAATTCTTTGTGACTCTATTGGTAGTTTTCTTGGGAAAGATATTGGAGTGGCTTGTCATTTCCTTCTCTCACTGATTTTGCAGATGAGGAACTGAGGCAAACAGGGTTAAGTTGACTTGCCCGGGGTCACATAGCTAGTAAGTGTATGAAGCTAGATTTAAACTCATGAAGATGAGTCTTCCTGATTCCAAGCCCAGTACTCTATCCACTACACCACCTAGCAGCCCCATTCAGTAGTAGCCAGTCCATGTTCCATTGCAATGGCTCTGCCATTAAATAATTCTGTGACCTTGAGCAAGCCAATTGGCTCTTCTGAGCCTCAGTTTCCACATTAATGAATGAGGAGATTGGAATAAAATCATAGACTCATAGTCAGAAAGGAACTCAAGGGGCAGCTAGGTGGTGCAGTGGATAGAGCACTGGCCCTGAAGTCAGAAGGACCTGAGTTCAAATCTGGCCTCATACCAAACACTTGACACTTACTAGCTGTGTGACCCTGGGTAATTTAACCCCAATTGTCTAAAAAAAAATAATAAATTAATTTAAAAAAGAAAGGAATTCAAAGTTCACACCTGAAAATGAATTGCCTCTAAAGGATCCTTGACAAGGATCCTTTCAGTCCACACAAGAATTTCTTCTTAAGTCTTCACAATTTCATTCTTGAGAATTTTCCAGTTCTCTTGGACCAACTTCTGCAAAAGTCTTCAGGTATCTGAAGAGAGGTCATGTGGAAGAGGGATTGAACTTGTTCTGCTGGGCCACAGGGAATAGGGCTGCCAACAGTTGAGCAGCTGATCTGCCTTACTGATAATGTTATCCTTTGGAAGGTGGAGGAAGTAATAAGAGAAAAGATGACCGTTCTTCAGATACTTGAAGACAACTATCATCCCTGCCACCCTTCATGTCTTCTCTTTTTCAAGTTCAATGTCCCTTGGTGGTAACTAATCCTCATATGGCATAGTTTCCAGGCCTCTCACTATTCTGGTCACCCTTCTTGGATATGCTCCAGTTTGTTGATGTCCTTCCTAAAATGTGACGCTTAAAACTGAACATAATACTCCAGATGTGTTCTGAACAGGGCAGAGCAAAGCATAATCCTACTCATTCTGAACATTTTGTCACCCTTAAATCAGGCTAAGGTCACATTAGTTCTTTTGGACGCCATTTCACAGTTTTGACCCGTACTGAGTTTAAAGTCTTTGAGAAGCCCTAGAAGGTTTCCCCCCACATGTATTGTTATTTAGCCATGAATTTACTATTCTGAATTTGTGATTTTTTTTAACCCAAGTGAAATGCTTTTAATTTGCTTGTCACTAATTTTACTGTATCTTTTATTCTTTGTCTCTAGCCTGGGGTCAGGATCTTTGTGGATCCTGATTTTTGTTATGAAACTTT